TGCTTCTCCCTCTGACCTTCTCCCCTCTCATGCTCTCTCTCTCTCTCAAATAAGTAAATAAAATCTTAAAAAAAAAAAAAATCAGACCAAGTACTATGTGATGCTATTCCTCTAACCACATGCAGAAAACAATCTATTACCTTTTCTTTGATGATTATTTCTCATACTTCGAGAAAATGCTAATAAAGAAATATTATATAATCATACTGGGCTAACTCTAAGAAATGAGCTCTTTAAAACAAGCTCTTGGTACACAAACAATGATTATCATTCCCTGTTAAGGGACTTATCATATCTTGTCCTGTTTTCTGACTGAAAAAACCCATTTCTTTCTATATATTCACGCAGTCTTATTGTTTTTTTCTGGCTCTTCTTGCAATCACTTTGACACATCATTCCTTTTCTTAAAAAGAGGTGGGGGGGATAAATTATTTTATATTGTATGCGTTTCTGGAAAAAGGAATTATTTAAGTAGAGACCCAAACATCTTATTTTCTCCTATCTGACCCAACAGATGAGAAATCAAATCAACTATATACCACCCATTTGAAGTATAATTTAACAAAAAAGTTTCAAACCAGAATATTAAAAAGTAGAAGAATATCCAGTTTTTCTAGTCTTCATATTAACTAAGGTATTGTCTGTAAATAGTTAACTATGTAACAGTGCTCTTAAAAATTTTTCAAAGGCACTCCACAGTCTTTGGAATTAGATGCAAGACACCAGAGTTAGCAACTTGTCCAACAGGTTGGCTGTCCTATGTGACACCTGATCCTGAATGACGCTTGATCGTGGCAGCTTAAGTTCCTTATGTTAGAAAGCCTGACATAAGAAAGAGCAAGCAGAACCAGGTAGCTTTTTCTTCAAAGAATAGCACTCCACTAACTTGAAATAACTTTCCAACTCGCTGCTTCAGCAATTCATTTATTCCCCAAATACTGTAAACCTGAGAATGACAGAAATATGGAGTCTCTAGAGAGTCAAATTATTGATAAGAACTCCTCACTGGCTCCTTCTCTAGTGTTTAACTTCATAATGGTAAAGTCTGAGTAGGGGCATGGAGGACACCAGGAAAGATAAAGACCATCTGAATTTTAATGACTGATTCAGTAAGTTTCTCCTACTTGTCAAGTATGTACAAAGAAAGTATTATCACTGGCAATGCTTAAGGCTTCCAAACACAAGCTGAGATCATACCCATAATTAAATGTGGAATCTGGTAGACTGAATCCCAATAAGCACTTAAAAAAAAAGAAGCGGGGGAGGAGAAGGAGGAGGAGGAGGATGGGGTGCGGGGGAGGAGGAGGAGAAGAGGAAGAAGAAGGAGAAGAAGGAGAAGGGGAGGAGGAGGGGAGAGAAGAAAAGGAAGAAGAAAAAAAAAGACTGTAAGAAGTCATATTGCTGAGTCATGACTCTTTTTTTTTTTAAGATTTTATTTATTTATTTGACAGACAGAGACCACAAGTAAGCAGAGAGGCAGAGAGAGGCGGGGGGAAGCAGGTTCCCTGCTGAGCAGAGAGCCTGATGCGGGGCTCGATCCCAGGACCCTGAGATCATGACCTGAGCCAAAGACAGAGGCTTAATCCACTGATCCACCCAGGCGCCCCATGACTCTTTTTTTTTTTTTAAAGATTTCATTTATTTGACAGAGAGAGATCACAAGTGGGCAAAGAGGCAAGCAGAGAGAGAGAGAGGAGGAAGCAGGCTCCCTGCAGAGCAGAGAACCTGATGCGGGACTCGATCCCAGAACCCTGAGATCATGACCTGAGCTGAAGGCAGAGACTTAACCCACTGAGCCACCCAGGTGCCCCCCATGACTCATTTTTTTTTAAAAAATAATTGTTCACTAGTAAACAACAGAACATAATAATTTTTTCCCCCTCTCTTCACTAAGAACTAGATATTTGAAGGAAGTTTATACAACTCAAGTATAAGAATCTGGTGAAATTTATTTCACAATAATCACTTACTCCTTTACTAAAAACTGGTATACAGGGAACTAAAAACAGGAACCGACATGAACAACCATTAGAGAGCATGAAAGAACAGAAGAGAACAGAAAGAACAAAGCCAGACTGTAACACTTTTTCTCACTAGAGGCCAGTGAAGGTCAAGAATGAAGCAGAAGGGGAAATACATCCATCTTGTACACATAAAAGGATTCCCAGAGTTCTGAGTGAATAATCAGATAACTTTTACAAGTGAAGAATTACTTTGACAACTCAGAACATTTTAGATGTCCAGCCTCAAGCCCTTGCTCTTGGTCTGTGTTTTATCTTTGCTTTTGTTTGAAAAGATTTCATTCTTACGGATTTAATGGGATACAAAACACAAAATTATATCTAAGAGGTAGAAAGAAACTGAAGCAAGAAAGGAGAAATAGCAACTCCTTTGAAAGAGACAAAAGTTTTAATCAACTATATAGCCAACGTTTTATTAGACAAATGCCATTGTTATATTACAGAGCTCTTTACCTTTTTTGAAAATTTAGTATAAAAACTGTATTTCTAAGGAGAGAGAAGTATATATATTTCATGAAAAAACATTTTAAAGAAATTAATATCAAGGAAAAACCAAGAAGAAAGAAAAGGGGTCTGCCTCAAGAAAACACTGGTCAAAAGAGAATTATTTCATTTCCATATGAGAGTTTCTTTTCTTATACCACTCATTTCACTCCACCTCTTCTATTCCCATTTAAATATTGTCTTCAGTTACACAATTGCTTATTATTGCTTTGCTCAAACACAGCATAAACCTGCATAATCTTATATCTGTGTTCTGGAGAGGAGAAGTAATATGTGTTTCCTTCTAATACTTTCTCTCTCTAAGGCATGGTAGTGAGTTTCATAAGGGTTAGTTTGGTTAATAAAATAGCTTCTTTCAAGTTAGGTTAGTAATATACCAGCACTAGATTAATGACCAATGACTGTTTCTGACGTAGAGAAATACACTCAAGCCAAATGTCCATCCTAGTATCTATCTATCTATCTATCTATCTATCTATCACACACACACGTAACATTACACACACACACACACATCATGGCAGTCCCTTCACATGCTCCATGAAGGATCAAAGACAAGAGAAAGATCTAAGCCGTGTGTACTACAACATGAACACTGCTAACTGGATAAGAGCATTATGTCCTCATTCTCACAGTCATCAAGTCCTCTTATAAACAGTGTGCATGGATTCTGCACGAAGACAAACAGTCTCTTGTTTCCTGCTGGGTGGAGAATGCACTTTGTAATTTGGTTTCCAATAGCCAAGAGCAGTAATGAAACTATTCCTTACAACTTACTGCTCATCCCACACAGACTTGTAAATAACCACACAGGCCCTGTCGAAAACTGGAATGAGCAGGTCAAGCTTTAACACAAAAGGGCCACGTCCCTTCGCTGTGCTTATAGCCACATCGAGCTGACTTGTTCCCAGGAGCTGTAAAGAGCCATGACAGATCCTTTTGACAGCGGCTATCTCTACTATTTAGCTCTTAGAATAGTGTGGCCTCTCTCAACCCCACAATGGTCTGCACGAAAATGGAAAGGGCAGCAACCTTTTTTAGGGACTAAATGAAAATGTATGAAGACAGATGTCTTCTGTCTGTGGTGGCTCTTGAGCTCCTCCACTGAAGTTACTCTCTCACACACAATTCATGAGAGGGAGTAACAGAGGACCCTTACAAATGGAGAGAAACAGAGCTGCACCTTGGATAAGGAAGCAAGTGGTCCAAACGGATGGATAATCTTAAAACGTTCTCTCACATTAAAAAATAAACACAGAGAAGGCACTGAATATGGGATGATTTTTTTTTGCTACCCATAAATAGATACAAATCACAAAATTAGAGAAAAGCTGACTAAAAGTATACAGAATTTTGCTAAGTCCTGAAGTCTTCAAGAGAAATTAAAGTCAATTTGAAAGAATTTTAATTTCATATACAAATATTCAGAATATGCCACAGCTATGTAATTGTTTATATAAAAGCAGAATGCAAACTATAGCCATTTTCCTTAATTGAAAGCCATTTTTTCTTTCTGATACTTAGTTACATATTTTTGGTTTTGATCAAGAGCGTGGTATTAATATTGATTTGATGATATCCAGTCCCCAGTATCTCTTTCCCATAAGGTTTTAATCTAGGTTTATAATGCATTTGATCTATTTATGCCATAACTCATGCTACTTGAGGCCAACAGATACGGTATAGAGAAAATATAAACCCTAAAAGTATCTGGTACGATGAAAACAACAGTAAACTGAAAATCAGGACATGTAGATTTTCATTTTAATTCTGTTTCTATGTGATCTTGAGCAAGCCCTAGATCCTCAATGTTCTCATTGAAAATGGACAGCCTGGCCTATAGATGATCTCTAAAATCTTGTTCAGATTTCATTTTCAAGGAGCTAATTGGTTAAGTCCCTAACTTGTCATCTATTGGCAAAGGATATTAAAAGTCTACATTGGGCAGAAAGAACAGGCCAAGTTCTCATCTGAATGCTCTACTGTTGTGTACAGATCCAACCTGTTGAACTTTCTGAATGACACAGATTTATTTATGTGCTTCTGAGACTCAAGCAAGGGTATTAAATTCTTATTGATGGTCAATATATTTTGTCTCCCTAAAAGAGAAATGAGCTGCATCCATTCCCAGTCATCGTAATATTTCATAGAGAATTTTGGGGAAGATCCAGAATAAGAATCCACTTCAAATTATTAAAAGAACAAGTAAATGCTGCATTGTTAATATTTTGCTATGATCGTTGCCCTTTTAATTTATCTGGCCCTTCTTGGGCTGGATTTTTGTACTGGAATGCTGAGAGCTTCCACACAATATTCCTGTGAACTGACAGGAACAAAAACAAACCTACTTCTTTAAAGCCAATAAACACAAAGGTTAGCAGTCACTGTAGTTGTGTAATAAAAATAAACCTCCACATTCCCTTTAAGCATATACAAACGTAACTTCAGACTCAGACAGACTCGAGGAACTCTTACCTGGGGTCTGCATTCTGCGAAGTTTCTGGGTGTTGCTAACATGATCCTTCCGGCATGCCAGTCAGAAACTCAAAACACTCATATACCGTCCTCGCCCGAGCTCGCTCTGGCTGGCGCTCACGCTCTCTCTTTTTTGCTCTCACTCTGTGCCTCAGACAGTTTGGAATGCAGAAAAGCCAGAGCCAACGCCAGTCAAACTCAAGCCTTTTTTTCTTTTCCCTAGTGCTTTTGCTACAGAGCACTAAACAATAGGCACTCTTCCTTCCTCACTGCACCTCTCCAGCACAGCCCTGGATGCAGGCAACTTACTTTAGGGGAAGCAATGGATTTACCAAGCTAGAAAATTCATTTCTTTCTGTCCCAAGAGGCAGTAGGATGGATGTGTGCATCTCTGCATTTTAAGAAGGGACTTCTTTTTTTCCTTAAAAGCAGTGTATTTCAAAATCTGTCATATTTTAGGGAAAGGAAAAATAATACAAATTTCAGAGATTCTTATTTTTGAATGTTATTATACTGAATTAAAACATAAACTTTTCGAAGTACAAAAACCAGGTGAATATCTCACAACAAGTGTGGTCTATAAAGAAGTATATATCTGCTAATATACATATTAATATATTAAATTCACTCCACAGATCACCTTATTACAATAGGATATTTCAAATTGGGAAAAGAAAAATTGTATATCCCCAAATCCTTCATTCAGCTCTTAAGCTAGAACTTCATTTTAAAAATAAAGAAAAAATTAATTTTATAAACTGAGTGGCTCTTAATTCTTACGTCAACTAGATATGATGAAATTATAGATAATATCACTGTTCTCAGTTATCATTTCAACTTGCTTTAAAATCAGACATATTTCTAGGGTTCTCCCCTTACATTCCAAGAAAGGAAGACAGGTCAACGACGTAATCTTCATTACTGGTATGATGACCTGGCACATTATGCGGTGGCTCAGTTGCTGAGGTAGCATGTCACGATTGATCAATTAAAAAATTCAGTTTGAACCATTGAGCAGATCCCACCTGTCACTCCAGACAGAGGAACAGGACAGGCAAGAGAAGAACATAATATCAATCTTTTATCTACCATTTAACAAACAGCTCATGGGAAGACATATACTCTATCTAGCTATATTTATGTATATATTTTATATGTAATCTATCTCTCACACACTATCTAGATATACATACATACACACAGATATGCACATATACATATACATAGGTGTGTGTGTGTGTGTGTGAACATATGTATAGTCCTTTTTTCCTTTTTTCTCCCCTTAAAGTCTCCTTAAACACCATCTGATTTGATTTTGATTATCTAGTCTCACCTTCCTTGAAAATCATTATGTTTTAACATTGCACTTTCCTCTGCCTTTACTTTTGGTTTCTTATTTCTACTTCAAATGAACTACTCCTTTAAACCCTAGTGCTACTCAGGTAAGAAACACAGAGAAAGAAAGGCAGAAACAAAACTTGTACAGAAAGGAACAAACTATGGGTCTGACCAGGAGGACTTTCAGACCACAGATCCCACCTTGTCCTATACGAAACAACACATCAACAACCACTATGCTCTTCTCCCCAAAGGTAACACAGCTTTATCAGTATTAAATGTCATTTATAATCGACCTTATAATTGTACAAAGCACACAGAAATTATTTTTACTTGTCATTTCTCTGAACAATTCTAAGAAATAGATCATGATTCTCATAATTCAACCCAAGAGTTAGAACTAAGGACAGTGAGTCTAAGTTATAAAGCAGAGAGATTTCAGGTCAAGAACAGCAAGCGAGTCCTTGGAAATGGCTTTCTGCAAGGGCTGCTGTAACAGACAATGGTTCCCTAATTCTTCCCACACAAGTGAATGTCCATTTGCTGAATATACTGCAGTGCTGTAGGTCTCACACTATGCTACTGAACAACGCTACTATTCTGATGAGAAAACGGAGTAACAGCAATCTTTTCCCAAATAACAGAAAAAGTTCACGAATACATTTTTCTCAAGTGTGAGTTTTTCTTCTTAAATATATTTTAAAATGTTAGAATCTGTTACTGTTAATTAACCTTAAAGAAGCCTAGAATGGTTCCAAACTCAGATCAAAAATGACATTTTCAGAAGATTATATATATGAAGGTTAATTATAACAATGGTTTACTGTGTTCTGCAAAAAGCACTGTTACCTATTTGGAGTTCTGATACCTGATTAAATCTGAGAACCACTGTTAACGACAGGAAACAGTTTTTCTTAAACCCAAATATGATGTTGTTCCGTTATTCAACACTCTTCAAAGAGGCTTATATACCATATTTTATTTTTACACTAAATCTTTTTTTGAAATCTTTTATGCATTACTATTTTTAACTCCCTGTTTTATGCCTTCCAGCCTTGGTGCTGCTGCTTTTGTCTGGAAGTCCCTTCCTTACCTGGTCCACTCTAATTTCTCCTTCAAAACCCAGATTTAAAATTATTTTCTTTACCTTATTTCCTACCAGAGTTGATCACATTCTCCTCTGCACTCATTTTTATACCCTATACTATTTTTTCTCTTCACAGCCCTCACCATTACCTAACATTATATCACTTAGTGGCATTTAATGTCCTTTTCCCCATCAGAATGTGAGGTAGATGGGGGTGGGGGCAGTGGGGAAACAAAGTGGGGCAGGGAGCGGAGGCTTTGTCTTATTTTCAATTTATCCACAGAGTTTTGAATGATGTCTGGCATCAGCAGGTACTTAGTGAATGATAGACAGATGGAGAGATGGATGAAAGAATATATTTCACTTATCTAACCTTTCATAAGTATCAAGTTAGGAATACTTAGGGATATCTTGAGGACAGGGAGCATAGCACATATTTTCTGATGCCAGAGTCCAGCGCTGTATACGTCACATGTGGTGAAGCAAGACCGTAAAGGAATACAACTCAAGCTTGTGTTGTTTCAAGTAACTAATTGAAGGCAAAAGAATTATACACCAAGGGAAGGTAGTTATTTCATCATTTCCTCAATTAGGACCTACTTGGACCTGGTGGAATCCCAATCCGTGAAAGCTTGTTGGGAGTCATTTTCCCCTTCTATGAAACCACAACCATGTGTTATGCTACTGTGGAAGAGAAATGCAGCTTCTAAGGTAGAGACTGAAGAGTGATAAAATCTTAATCTCCTACAACACTACCGAGTTCTCCAAGAGGCTAGAGAAGCATGAGTAAGAGAATGTTTCACCCTTTAGCCTCCGCTCAAGTTAGACACTGGCTCAAATTCATGTCCACGAAGGAGCTTTGAGCTGATAATATTGGATCTCACAACTAGAGCACTCAATTCAGTATCCAGTATGTTCATTTTGGATATATCAGGCCACTTAAGCCATTTTATGTCTGCAAACAATCACTATGTTGTAATTATTTGGTTTCACCATTTCTTCTCTGTACAGAGAATTGGGTAGGGTTGTCTTAATTAATCCATCTTATGTAACCACGATCCAACATCATATTTAATAAATAGTGTGTTAGGTTGAACTACGTGAAAATGCCATTTTTTGTTAGCTGGTAATAAACGATTATCAGCAATGATCAAAAGAATATTTAAAAAGATTCAAAGACTGAATGAAGTGTTGGATTAGGTGATTTTCAAGATCTCTTCCAGCTTTAGAATTCTATGATATTATTATTTGAACATAAATGAGAGAATCACTCATTTTCAATGCTTGGTCACCTTGACAAACTATGGTCCTCCCATTACACACTAACACAGCACTGTGTTCTTGTCCTTTCTTGAACTTATCACAACTACAGTTCAGTTATTCATATGCTGGACGTCTAGCTGCTCCTCCAAACTCCACGGTGGCAGGGACCATACCTGCTTTGTTCACTGATGTATCAGTGCAAAGTATGGCATCAGAGTATTTCATAAATATTTGTTGAATAAACAAATAAATGGACTCTTGAAGACTATATCTATGTCAGTTTTCAAATTCAGTATCAACAAATACTGTTTTCTTTTTTTTTAAAGACTGTATTTATTCATTCGTGAGGGACAGAGAAAGGTGGGGCAGAGGCAGAGGGAAAAGTAGGCTCTCCGCTGAGCAGAGAGCTGGACATGGGACTCAGTCCCAGGACCCTGGGATCATGACCTGAGCAGAAGGCAGATGCTTAACCGAGTGAGCCCCCAGGTGCCCAATACTGCTTTTTTTCTAAAAGGCTAGGATAATATTTTTCTAGTTATGAATCAACTAAGTAGTATACTTTTAAAATTTTAATGAATAAAGATAGCATATTTTCCCCCTACCCCTTACAAAAGGAATTATGAAATTCTGACTTTGGTACAGTTATGGAAGTCAGTGTGAGAACCATTTAGATACCCTAACTGCATAATTTTCCACAAATGCCTGATATTCTAAAAAATCAACACAAAAAATAAGCTAACTGCATATAATTAAAAATGACATGCACATCAGTTTTACTTCTTACCAAACAAATTAACAAATAAATAAATTTTAAAACCCTGTTAATAACTATCTTCTCTTCTTCCAAGCACAAACAAATCTCAGTAGCAGGTAGGCTGAGGTATACACCAGCCTGTCTGTGTGCTTCCCCTTTTGAACAACAAGTGATCAGAAACACAGCTGCTTCTAACCATAAACACAATTTCTATTAAGGTCTCTCCATAAACCAGATTGGCATCCTGATACTGTGCTCTTCCCACGGCATTCTTTTTAGAGTTCATACTAGAAAAGGAAATCATTGTCTATAATTGGAATAACAAAGACTAAAGTCACCCATTTTTTCAGAAATGCTTCTGAAATGCTCATTTTTAAGTTTATTTGTATATAATGGGACAACAAGCAGCACACATACATATACACTTCTGATTTAAAAAAAAAAAAAAGCATTGAAAAGACTTGAAGATCTGTTCATCGTAGGGTCTAGCTAAGTACTTATAAGTGTTTAGAAAAGGCACATGCCAAGAAGTGGCACATGGCACATGACAGCCAAGCAATAGTTCCAAACTTCTGGCTAAGCAATTACCTTGCTCTTCCAGCTACAAGAATTTATTACAAGGCATTTCCTTACCTGAAATGGCAACTGGCAGAGAGGAAGCATTACAGGGAGTAGGAAAAATCAAAGATCAGTCAACTCCTAATACGCAGGTGCTCATATGAAAAGGACCATATTTCAAAGAAAAATAAGCCAAACTTAAGTGGAAAAATACA